CGTTGAACCAGTGGAACAATTTAAAACGTTTTCTGTGTATGAGGATAAAAGCGATGCCATTATCGATACGCATACAGCTACCGTAACGAACAAACAGCAGCCGCCACATTATCCTGCTGCCGCTACAATAGAACCTAGTCATGATGTTGTGGAAAAAGAAAATTTCTATGGAGAAAAGCAGCAACAAAAGAAACAACAGCGCGTTTTAGCGGAAAAAAGCGATTCTTCTTTGGTTCAGAAGTGTGAAGAAAATGAATACACGCTGGATACTACGCCAATGTCAGTATCTGAGATCTTATCACCTATGTCCGTAGACCGTTCTGTCATAAATTCTCAATTATTTACGGACGATAGTAATTCTGGAGAGATTGCTGATATATCTGAGGCATCATCTAATAAGAAATTACAATTACCTCGTAATGATCGTCAACGTTTCTTTGAAGTAGTAGAATATCAACGTGATATATTGGAATATTTCCGTGAAAGCGAAAAAAAGCATCGCCCCAAACCTCATTATATGCGCCGCCAAACAGATATCAATTATTCAATGCGTGCTATATTGGTCGACTGGCTTGTCGAGGTTTCCGAAGAGTACAATTTAGATACAGAGACACTGTACTTATCGGTATCCTATATTGATCGATTCCTTAGTCACATGTCGGTAGTGCGTAACAAATTGCAATTGGTTGGAACGGCTGCAATGTACATTGCTTCCAAATATGAGGAAATCTATCCACCGGATGTATCGGAATTTGTTTTTATTACCGATGATACTTACAATAAGGCACAGGTGTTGCGCATGGAACAAATAATATTAAAGATTTTAGCTTTCGATTTGTGCACACCCACAGCCTATGTGTTCACGAGCACCTATTCAGTGCTAATCGACATACCGGATAAAGTGAAGTATTTAACGCTGTATATTTGTGAATTATCCTTGCTCGAGGCTGATCCTTATTTGCGCTTTTATCCATCGATGATTTCCGCAGCTGCATTGGCTTTGGCTCGTTTCGTTTGCGATATAAACATTTGGTCAACCGAACTGGAAGAAATTACTACCTATCGTTTGGAGGATTTAAAAGAAGTTTTATTGTGTCTATGCAAATCACATAACGCTGCCATCACACTAGCCCAACAAGCCATACCAGAAAAATACAAATCAGAAAAACTCCTTGCGGTGTCGGCGATTAAACCGGTCGATATAAATGAGCAACAATACGATGTTATCTTGAAAAATTACAATGAAATGCTAGAAAATGCCAAGCGGAGTAAAGAGCTCATTTCTACACCGTTAGCAACAGCAACAGTAATGACATCAACAGCGTTAACGTCCCCTAAAGTAAATCTGTTTTTTAAATTTTAACCTTTTTTTTTTT